ATTTCAGTTCGATGTAGACTTCTACACAAATTTCCCTTTAAAAAAAGTTCATAAAAATATTCGCTATCATGGTTAGCTCATGCCACTGGGAAGCTGCTGTTATTCTTATATTACTAATTCTTCCCAGAATTAATCAGTCACTGTACATTAGAACCAGCAGCTGGAGTGTTTTGAGTGATAATGAAACCTGTAACAAGGCATCTCCAGCCGTCTTCTCAAGACAATAAGGGAATTAAAATTTCAATTTAAATGCAGAGGTTTGAAACACGCTTCACTGGCAAAATTACTTCAATTAATGTGAGTGGAATACAAAGGACAGACTGCAGAAGTGTGATGCAGCAACCAGAAATTATGTCATTAATGTGCTTGCATCAACCCAGCACAATGACTGCAAAGGTCTAATTTAAACCATACATATCACAAAGCTACAGGCTACAATATAAATCAAGTCTCTGATTTCAATGTGACGGATGCAGGCTTCTTGTTGAATCACTTTTAGCTTTCTGTAAGCTAACAGCAGCTGTTTACCTTGAAGAAGGAAACAAAGGGCCATGCCTATTTGCAGACGTCGCCAGTCATGACAAGTTAATTATTCCATGCACCACTCAGATTATCGTATCAAAAGAACTAAATATTCCATCTAGAAGCCAAGTCTGGAGCTATCAGACCAGTCTAATGGTAAAAAAGGAACTGCAAGAGCTGACAGGAGCCAGGGTCACCACTGATTTAGTGACTCTGGATTTATTAACCTGAGTAGGGATTCCATTACTGGGCATCTGTACCTGACTTAAAATAAAAATGCAAAACTTTTGTTAAACGAATCCAAGGAAATCAGAAGGTTTTGAAAAACGAGATTATTGTGTCTTCACTTTCCTCTGATATCTTTTTTAGCAAAGACTTCCATTTGGACTCTTCAAATGCCTTAAGTAGATTTTACTTCTAATATCACATAACGGGGAAAGGAAATGCGATCACTTTTTTCATATGAAGTCCAGTGAAAGAGCAATTACAGACCTTACTTTTCACTCTTATAAACAAAAGGCCAAATTGAAGACTATTTCCAACCTTTTAAGCACACTTTAAATCTTCCCTCCGTGAAACCATTATTTATGAGGATGTGCGTACACCCCAGACCATGCAAAGCTACTACCTCATCTGGAAAATAGGGATGGCATCAGAAACCGATCTCCAATAGGGTTGGTGAGAGAATTAAATGTGTTAACAAATGTAACGTACTTAAAATGGTACCAACACATAGTCAGTGCTCAAGACATCCTAGCTATTATAATTATTTTTGTTGTAAAACAAAAAAAGATTAGAAACTACAGAAACATTAAAAGGCAAGCAAACAAATGGAGGAGAAAAATCAGACCAGAGCTCCAAGAGAGAGAATAAAATGCCTTTTTCTGTTTAGTATATGAAACCCTTTCACGTAGTTATTCATTTTACTAATGATCTGTGAACATGACTACACGACTATGCTAAGTACAGGGCAGAAAAGATATAGCCCCTGCCCTCAATGACCTACCATACAAACAAAAGTTATATTGCAAAGAAACACATACAGTTTATGAAAACAAAGAAAAGCATCTCATGTTAAGTATTGTTACCACAATAAAAATAAACACATAATTTTTTTAAAAGAAAAGTATCTAATTACCTGGGACATTCAGAGACGATGAAATGTGAGCCAAGTTTTAAAGATTAGATCATCATTTTTCAGGCAGATAGGATTGAAATTAGTTTCAAGGAAATACATGATCAATTAAAAAGGAAAATTCTATAGCATCCTTATATAGTAGTAATGAATAACTAAAAGTTGCAATTAATAAAGAGCCATTGTTTTAACAAACAAAAACGTGATACTCAGAAATAAAACAAAATATATGTAATATAGTATCTCTAAGTAATGCATTACTAAGTATTATTATAAGAATATAAAGACTTCAATAAATTTGAGACATGTCTTGTTTTTGAAAGACTTGTACTACAAAGATGAAACTTGCTTACATTTAATCAAAACCCCATCACACTTTGTGCAAAACTTGACGAGCTGATACTAAAATCCACATGGAAGAGTAAAGGGCCAAGAATAGTATAGACAATTCTGAACAGCAAGGTGAGGGAATGTCTTCACCTGCTATCAAGATATATTATAAAATTATAGTAATTAAAACAGCATAGTTTTGGTGCAAATATGTATGAGACCAACTGAGCAAAAGAAAGAGCTCAGAAATATCCATGCATATGTGAAAACTTGGTATGTGACCAAAATGGCATTAAATCAATAGGAAATGAATTCAATAAATGGTCTGAGCCAAGTGTCTATTTATATGGAAGATAAAATTAGGTCCCCAGTTCATACCATACATGAAAGTAGATTCTAACGGAATTAAAGAAGATACAAGAGATTCTCTTTATGACACTGAGATAGAAGAAAAATTCTTAAAATAAAAACCACATAACATGGAAAATGAATGAGATATTTTATTACATTAAATTTTAAAACTTCTTTATAACAAAGACACCATAAACAAAGTAAAAAAGATATACCACCAACTGAGAGAAGACATTTACAATCCATTCAAGAGATAAAGGATTAGCATCCAGAATATATAAAGAACTACAAACAGCAAAGAGAACTTCTGAGAAGTGTATCTCATATACTCACCCTTTTCTGAAGGTGACTGTTCTTCCTTCCCACCCCAGAACCACATAGTTTTAGTTGGAACTGACAATTACAGTACCCAAGCTGGCCCAATCTAGATCCTACTCCTGTATTTCTTTTTTAATCTTCACCCAAGGATATGTTTTTATTATCTGAGAGAGAGAGAGAGAGAAAAGGGGAGAAAGGAGCAAAAGAGGGAAACATCGATGTGAGAGAAACATTGACTGGTTGCCTCCTGTACACGCCCTGACCGGGGATCAAACCCACAACCTAGGTATGTGACCTGACCAGGAATCAAACCCACCACTTTTTGGTGTATGGGGTGATGCTCCAACCAACCAAGCCACCCAGCCAGGACCTACCCCTGTATTTTTTAACTAGAAAAAAAGATTATTTCCTCTGCAAAGCTGAAGTGGTATGGGCTACAGCCTACACTCCTTCTTCTCCCCAAACACCCAAGCCCCTCCCACAGTGGAAGCAACATCTCCAGTAGAACAATGAAAAGGGCATGCAAAAGAACATATAGGTGGCATTCCACATGTACGCCTGTCCTCTTAACAGACTGGTTACATGAGTAAAGTGATTCTTTTACCTAAGCTAGCTAGAGTTGGATTTCTGTAACTTGCAACCAAGAATTTAAACTTATTTAATGAGATTCTTAAGAAAATAAGTTTAAAAACATAAGGTTATTCATTATTGATTAGCTCTTTAGTAAATAAATTAGCCCTTAAGTAGTAAAACCATATAACAAAAATCTGAAATCCTAAAAGAACATAACACAAAGAAATTCTAACAACCTATTTTTAATAAATATATGGCACTTATCTGTAAGAAAGCAGGCCCACTACACAAAATGGTGATTCAAACAGATGTGTATATGGTAAATATATTCTGTAAGCATATCTATTAATGGCTGAGTTTTGTTCATTTGGCACATGCATGCATCCTAACACATAACCCAGGAGTAAAGCTGGAAGGTGACTTTTTCTTCATCCTATAGTCATTATTAAGGAAGATGTCACTAAACCAGGTACTGAAAATAGCCAGTTCTGTTGCCACTCTCAAGAGCAAACCATTACTAACCCCCTTCCACTGTGGCAATTGATTGTTCACACCTATCACATAACCAGGTTTCAGAATAGAATCATGGTTGAGCCTTGGCTGGTCTGGCTCAGCGGTTAGAGCATCGGCCCTTGGACTGGAGTTTGGTTCCCGCTAAGGGCATGTACCTTGGTTGCAGTTTGTCCCCAGTACCAGTTGGGGTCGTGTGGGTGGCAACCACTCGATGTGTCCCTCTCACACTGATGTTTCTCTCTCTCTCTTCTTCCCTCTCTCCCTCCTGCTCTATCTGAGGATAAATGCAAAAATGTCCTCAGGTGATAAGGTAAGATAAGATAAAGAAACAAACAAATAAAGCTTCTTATGAAGGACTTATGGCAACATTCTTCCTGACAGTCTGAATGAATCAAACCACTTAGAGGATTTCACCTGTTTCTCCCACCACTTCCTCTCAGTGAGTCTTCCAGTGTCACAGCCCATCTAATTTGGTGAAACGAAGGTAAGGGACTTTCACCTGTCAGGGAAAAGAAAATCCAAATACAGCCTGCCGACCGCTGAGAGCTCCTGTCGTCCCCGACAGCTCGGAATGAGACGAAGCAGGGTGCTTGTGCGGAGTGGGGGGCAGACAGGGCAGCCCTCTCCAGGAGCCACGGGCCCCGGGAAGGGAGGGTTGTTAGAGAGCAAGCTGTGTTTTCATTTCATTATTCTTCTTCCAGATGCTCAGCCACAGGCACCGCCAGCTGCCACCACCTTTGGATTTTCATCTCTAATTCAAAAAGTGGCAGGATGGACTAGGAGAAGCTGAAGGCTAGGCTGCGGAGTACTCTTGCTTGACAAAGTTACTTCGGAAATTATTTTTTCTTATCAATTTAAAGGAAAAAAACACAAAGCCCTAATGTAAAAATTCCTTCAACGAATTTGTGGAACATCAAGTTTATAAATCTCCTAAGTGCTCTTTCATGCACTTTTCATTCTTTAAAATAGGATTCATTAACTTTCTTCCTCTGAAGCTAAACACCTCTCATTACTATTCCAATATGATTAAAGTACTGACTTCTTACCATTGTTCCAAAGGCAGACAATACCTAAATAATAACCGCTTACCATTTCAAACACTGGAATTAAGAAGAGAACCAGCCAGGCTTCACCCGCAAAGGCTCCTGAACCCCAAGAGGGCGGTATGCAATGTGCTGCATGAATTACGGAATTCAGAGAACGAAAGGAAGCACTTCGCTACCTCAGCAGAAACGTCCATTAGCTCGGCCTCTCTTACCAGCATGTCGGTGGCACTGAGATAGTGCTTGCTGACCATGCACTGTTCCAGCTTCTGAGGCACCTGCTTGATATTCTCAATCTCATCCAGTAGGTTCAGGACATGCTTATGTTCAATTCCTTCAATCCACAGTTTCCGAAGCTCGTCCCGTTTGCAGTGTAACAGCATCTTGCATGAAAGCAGATTTTCTTTGACCTACAAGTAAGCAGATTCAGTCCTGGGTCAGTCCAGAGTCTGACCAGCCTAAGCCCATATCTAGTTAGTATTCTGCAGTGATACTGCTGTAAGTAACAATTCCTCACTAACTGCTTGTGAAATTCTAATTCTGATTCTGACACTGACTCACTTGGGTACATCTCCATCTCTTTGTGTCTGTTTTTTCTCTCCTGTAAAATGAGCAAACTGCTCCTAACCTACCTTAGAGTACATCTAGAAGACATTACTTTGGACATAATGCACTCTGCAAATAGGAAGTACCCCGCTGATGTTAACATATCCAACGGGAACAACGGATATGAGAGTCCACACTATTATTTCGTGCCCATGTTCTTGCACATTTCCTAGTCAGCTGATAAGTCACTTGGTCCATCCCTCTAGATCAAGACCTTCAGCTAAAGTTTACAACCAAGGAGATAGGCATTCATCTGAACTCACTAAAATGAAAAGAAGACCAGTTTCCAAAAGAGAGTCGACGCAATCAGAGATCATCTCAAAGTAAAAGGAATTGGGACACACCAAGGATATATTTTACCATGTGTTTCGATTTTTAAATGATAACACAGCGGCAAGTGTTCTCACAGACCTGTGCAGTTTAGGGACCAGCACAGGCACAGCTTGACAAACAGGAGAGGAGGAGGAGCAGGAAGGGTAGTCACAATGTACGTGATGAGCGCATTTTCATTTTCTACCCTAATGAAAAGTCTTCATTTTTACCGCATGGAAAAATAAAAAGATAAAAAATAAGGTAGATTGTGTAAAATGACCTTTCACAATTCACAGAGTTGTTTTCATACACTTTTGACACCCCTTACATGTATTTTTATTTACATTATAATTTAATATTGGTTTATAGTTTTGTGTTTGGTTGCAGTTTGAGGTTCATCTCGAGCGTACCATTTGATGAGTTTCAGCAAATGCCTACACATGTATAATCCAAACCATCAATATACAGTTCACGTCTATCACCCTAGTCTACGATGTTTTTGATCATTGAAAATCTGTCTTCTTTTACAAGATTTGGTGTGGTGTTGCATATAATGACACTATACTTCTGGTAATTACCAAGCTAAATTTCAACATTTTTCAAATAAACATGGAAAATATGAAGATAGAATGCTAACATTAGAAGGTTTATTGAGAAAGCATCTGATCCATTCCTACAACTTTAGGACAACACCTAAATCATACTTTTATGAAACTCTCTAATGTTTAAAAAAAAAAAAAAAAAGCCCTGAATAAGGAAATATTGTAATCTCTTAAAAAGTATAATGGAATGATTAGGAGCCTTTTGGGGGGAAGAGATCAGAGACACCCTAGAAAATCTGTTGAAGATGGTCTTAATTACCCGTTCTCCTTCTCCTGCAACCCTACCAAAGTGGGAGTTTTAAGTATAAACACTGAGAAAGGAAAACAGAGAGGAGGGAATAGCAAATAAGAGATGGCATCAAATCTTTGGAAGCTCGCAAGACAGTGGGTGGTGGATAACTAAACTAGCAGAGCAGAGAAATCTTAGCCTGCATGGGATTTGCTGATACTGAAGGCAGGGATACAGCGTTTCAACTTTCTATAAGGAACATTTGTGAGCGCTAGATCATTATCAACCCTCACAGACCGGTAACACCCCCCACCCACCCACCCTGCCCAGCAATAGCCAAATAGGAGGTTTATAATCTGAAGGAACTGAACCAGAAAGAATATGGACCAGGAAATGCTAAGTAGAAATGTACTGGATAGAAAATAGGAGGATGAAGTCAACAAGGGTCTAAGGAACAGTAAGATTCTCGGTCCTCTCTGAACCCTCAGCCTCCTTCCAAGGTTGGCTCCAAAAACACTCAGCTTGACTTTTAGCCCCAACACAGGGAACTTACACTTTTCCATGGCAGAAGTAAGCAAATTAAAAGACCTATAAGCCTTGACCAAGTGGCTCAGTTAGTTGGAGCGTCATCTAGTACACCAAAAAGGTTGTGGGTCCGATGCCTAGTCGGGGCTCAACCGATTAATGTTTCTCTTCAACAATGATGTCTGTCTCTCTTTCTGTCTCTCTCTGTGTTCCCCTTCCTCTCTCTAAAACCAATAAATAGATCCTCAAATGACAATTTAAAACAAAAACAAAAACAACTAGACAAGCTACATAAGATGCTGAGCTTCCAATCAGCTTCCTAGTGCCTCCCTCTTACATACAAATAGTTAGCCAAGGATCACCAGTCAAGGGAAGCCTGTAATATGGAAAGATAGGAATCTAAACAAAAAGAAAAAGGTACTGGAGAGAAGCAGGGAACAAACTATGGAGGAAACAGTTCAAAACAAAAACAAACTATAATTAATATTCTTGGAAAAAGCAACTCTTCAAAATTAAAAATATGATAGGAAAAAAATCTAATACAAAGGTTAAAAGATACTCCTGAATAAATATCAAAAGAGCACAACATAAAAAAACCAGATATAGGTAAAAAGAAGGTAAAAGAAAATGAAGGGATTGATCTAAGAAGTCCAATGCTTGCCAAATAGGAGTTCCAGGGAAGAAAAAATGAAAAGAAGAAAAAAAAAAAGGAGAAAATACTAATAAAATAATTTTTTTTAAACCCAAAACTATGAGTTTTCAGATTGAAAGGCACATCAAGTGTTCAAGACAATGAGGTAAAAACAAGACCCAAGCCAGGGCACATCATTCTGACATGTAAGAACACAGGGACAGAGATAACTTTGTAAAAGCTTTCGGGGTGGGGGTGGTTAGTGGGAAGAGAACCCATATGAAAGACTGTGAATCAGCATGCACATCAGGAATGCAGGCTCTCAGACAATAAGCCTTATATGCACCACATGTCACCGAGCAACTGAAGAATGTGCTCCATCAGTACAAGAGAAAAACAGAAGAAATCCAGGATCCAGGGAAGGGGGCTCAGGTGAACCAATGCGAATGAAAGGCAACAGGATTATTTAACCATTGACTCCAAGAAGAACAACAACAAAATTACACATGCAAAAATAGCATGCTGGATGGCCAGAAGTACATATTTAGGCAGTTATAATAGAGTAGGCACTATTCAAGAAACACTAGGATACAACTCCATAGAGAAGATGAGGAAAGATGTGGTGGGTGGGGGAAGAGTGGGAGGGGACTGTACCCTCATCTTCCACAGCTGGAAGTTCACGTGCAATGTCTAAAATAGAAAAACCAAGACAAACAGCATAAACGTATTACTTAGAAATACAAACATCTGAGGAGAAAACTAAGAGCAAAAGTCAATGGCTCTGAAGTGCTGGAGCTGGGACTAGGGTAAGAAGAGGCGGGCAGTGCTGGCTTTTCTCAGCATCTGTGATTCTGCGTGATTTTCAAGGCCATTCCCAGATCCCGTGAGAGTTCTTGGTCTCTGGGTAAAGAACTCTAGCTATAAAATTCACTGTATTTTAAATCTTAGTTAAAATCTGTTAGAATTTGATTTCTGACATTCTACTCATAGCACCTTAGTTCTATAAATCTCAGCTTTTTCCTCTGTTACTATGGAAACAGTTAAAAGTAAATGTTATGTCATACAACACCCAACTAGGCTCTTGATCAAGAGAAACTTACTGAGTGTCAATAAACCTTGGCAAACTCCTCTCTGATAGGAAAAAGACCATCACAGCATTTCGCACTAGGATATACACAATGGCATTTGCTCACTGGTGTTGCTCACTACCAAAGGCGAAATGAAAAGGCAGGTAGCACTGGGGGAGGGGAAAGACAATGAGCATCACCAAAATTATCCCCTCAACCGGTTAGTTAACCAAAGCTGCAGACATAAGAATATACGAACTTTGAATACTAAACTGCCCTGAGGCTTCAGCTTTTTTATTACAAAGTCACAGTTATAAAGAAATGTTCTTTTAAAGGTTGGGGGATGAGGGTGATACCAGTCTGCCGTAAAAGGAAAGAAATATGAAGAATCTCAAAAACATTTTGCTGAGCAAAAGCAGTTAAGCCCAAAAGGGTACACATACTGTATAAACCCTAGAAAAGGCAAAAATAATTTATAGTGATCATTTCAAATCAACAGCTGCTTGGAAGAGGATGAGGGATCGACTGCAAAGAGGCAGAAAGGAACTTTGTGCGGGTAACACATTCAAGGGTACATACACTTACCAAAACTCACTGAACTGAACTCTAAACATATTGCAACTTATTATACGTAAATTATAGCTCAAAAAATATGATTTTTTAAACAGAGAGGGGAGAAACAGGGCTATGTCCATCAATGAATAATAGCATCTAAATGCGAGACAGGTAACAAATTATACACACTCATCTCAAATGCCTGCTTTACTTTTATGAAGGTGGTGTCAGCATTTTAATTGAATCTGTTTATGAGGACAACTAAAATTTTTAAATTTCTTCCTTAAATAAATCCGTGAAGAGGCAAGCTGTTCAAATCACAACATCAAAACCCAAGCAGATCCTTCCTCAAGCACAAGTTTCCTTTGCTTCCTGAGAAATCGGGTAACTTCACAATTGCTCCTCATCACCTGTTCAGCAATAGTAAGAACTTCAGTTGTAATATACAAGGACTGTGAGTCACTCTAATTAGAGACTATTAGAAAATTAGGGAAACAGGGCCCAGGAGGTTACTGTGAACAGATATGCAAGAGGAGAGAGACAGCAGAGTAATGGAGACTGGCAAGCCTGCCTAGGGGAAGCTGAGGAGGAGGAACTACCTGGGCCTCTGAGGACATCTGGGAACATCTGGGAGAGGAGCAGCAGAGCAATCTGCAAGGGAGGCTGAGGATGTGGGTGAGGTGGTGACGAGCCATCACTTTTAAGTCCTAAATTCAGAAAAGCACTGTCTTTGGATCAAGAATAAAGAAGAAAATGCTTCCCGGCCGGTGTGGCTCAGTGGTTAGGTGTTGACCCATGTGCCAAGAGGTTGCCAGTTCGATTCCGGGTCAGGGCACATGCCCAGGTTGTGGGTCCGATCCCCAGTGGGGGGCATGCAGGAGGC